TGTACAGGAAGGAAAAACAAGTTGTTGAGAATATTTCGAGGAACACGATGAGAAAACAATCGTGGATCGTCCAGAATTTCAAAAATGCCGACCGTGGAGGATTCGCGTGTAAGGCAAGGAGCCCGCAAGACCAAGGGGAGCCCGAATTCAATTTGACTCGACTAAGTACTCCTATAAAAAAGTTTGAGAACACGGGAAACTTTTTGAAGGGAATTTTTTCGCCGCTCCGATTACGGATCTCGTCAGGAGGGACGCCACGCCGCAAAATCAACATAATTTCCTGTTACTTTTTCGTTTCTCCGCCGATTTGTTTACTTTAGTCGTTTATTATTATTCCTTGAAATCATCGTCGAGTTTAGCTAGTGCATATCGTAATTTAAAGCAAAAGAAAAACGGATTGAATTTTTGAGCTTTCGCGCAAAAATCATAAAAAGAAGGGTGGAAATATGAATATCTAATATGACTTGTTTTTAAGGTTTTTTCTGGAAAATGGGATTGTACCAAATGGACGCAAAATGACGGGGAAAAATGATGCTTCTTGCAAACACTTAAACGACGTTTTCGTACGACCAAAGAATTTTCGAATCGGAATTTTATGACTAATATCTCATTTAATGTTTGAGATCAGAGCGCCAACCTTGTGCCAAAACTTCCAGATTTCCTTCCTCTGCGCATTTAAGGAGGTTAAGTTACTTGATTTTCAAAAATATACAATTTTAATTTCACAGAAAAATTAAAATAAAATCTCCCTTGAAATAATTTATTGGTTCCATGATAATAATGCATTATTCCTTTACATCATCTTGCAGTATTTTAATAATACTGAGTTATTTTCATAAGAAATCACGAAAAAATTAAAAAATTCCATTTCTTTTCAATTTTTTATCAGCGTTAGCATTTTTTCCTGAATATAATTAAAAAAAAATGTCTTCTTGGTGACAAACTCAGGAATATTTCTGCTTTTAAATCAAGTCACTAGTTTTTCCGGTGTGGTTTGACCCTGATCTATCAACTCTTTTACTTTGTCATTTCAGGCATACTTTCCGTTTTTCCTTATAACATTCTGACTCATTGCTTCCCAATGCATTCGCAAAGAGTGACCTAGTCTCAGGGACCAAGTCGTCGTGAGGCAAGAAACTGTTTGACAGATTTTTTTGTTTTGTTTTTCAAAATAAAACTTCAACAGTAATAAAGACGTGCCAGTTAAGGGAGAAAAGGTGCATTACAACTATATGTTGAATTATGTGTTGATTGGATGCTATTAACATCGAGATAAAGGACCTTTCAAATTTGCTGATAATCCGTGTTTCAATGAAAAAGTTCAGATATTATTTTTATCTCACCTCAGAGGCGGTCTGGCTAGGGGTGCTAGGGTGCTTCAGCACCCCAAAAACTCTGACGGGTGGCTCAGGGGGCCCTCCCAAGTTTTTTGTAGGGGCCCCCAAAAATTGAAAAACCCAAATGAAGAAGGACTTTAGGTGAGCGAAAAGGGGCTCCGAAAACTTATCAGCACCCTCCAGAATTTTCGATCCCAGCGGACTGATTATTGAAATTGATGGACAAAGCTATAGACAAAAAAGACATGGGGAGAATGGAGCGATCCTATTGGGAAATATGGATGGTTCCTAAAGACGAAGGAAGAAAATGATGGACTAACTGTCGGGTCTCTCGTGGGTCGCCGTTAGTTAGTCTATTACCTACCTCCTTTGTCCATTGCGACCACCCGCTTTCACCAATAGGTTCTCTCCATATCTTTTGTCTCTTTTGTCTATAGCTTTGTCTATCAATTTCAATAATCGGCTCGCAAACCAGTACTGCCTTAACTTAAAAAATCCTTGAACGGATGTTAAAATCTGCGTATTGCAAACAATCTGGCACGCAAGTGTTTCGCGGGCTGTTTCGCGCCCCGGGGGAGCAATGGGGGGCGTGAGGAGACAACTCCATTTGAGTGTAAATTAAATAAAAATGAGTTCAACAAACTCCCCTCTTATCTGCGGCGCGAGCCTCTCCGGTATACCTTGGCTAATTACGAGTTTGTGTTTGCGAGTCCTTTTTTCGCCTGTTCGCGTTGCGTGTTTCTTCCTCGCTCTCAAATCGCGCGCGAGTGTTAAGAGCAACCCTTTCCGTTCGCGGCGAGTTATCTTTCCGCTTGGCTGTCAAATTAGCATGGTAGGCCACCCGCTTAGGTGTACTCGCGGAAAACAAATTGGCGCAAGGTGTTCCGGATTGCTCCAACGCCCTGTTCTTTCCTTGCAATTGTAACAAGGTACACGTCTTAAGACATATTCGAACCGCGTTTAACAGAAAGGAACCAAGCCACATCAGCTATTGCCAAATTTAACTGGGCAATGTAAGTTTTTACTAGAGAACCTTTGTGCGGATTCCTTTGAAAATGTTAAGGATTTTGCTTCGCACCATGCAGAAGATGCACTGAAATTTGCACAAAAACCCACACATCCGTTTTCATGTTATATATTAAATTGCCTGATCAAATTTGGCGATAGCTGATGTGGCTTGGTTCCTTTCTGCTTAACGCGGTCCATTTTGTTCTTTCATAATTCACTCTCCACGTCTGTCCTTTTGGATGTGAAGTGCTCGGATAAGTCGTTTTCCGCTAAAGCTGTCGAGTATAAATATACCGAGTTCATCAGAAAGGAACCAACCCAGATTAAGTTGAAACTGAGAAAAATAGTTTTTTAATTTTATTCCTGCATAAGGCTCAATGTGAAAAACAAACTTTAACCCCTCTTCTCACAAAAATGTTTAATTTTTAGAATTTCAGTTTTTTGCAGGAAAAAATATACTTCTAGTGAAATTCAAAAACACGTATAACTAATTTTTTTTCAAAAATGTCAGTTGGTTTCTTTCTGATAAACTCGGTCCAAATTCGATAGAAAATTATATTAACTTCCCATCAAAAATGTATCGAAATAAATTAAATGAATGAAACGAAGAGAGATCGGAGGGAGGGGAGTTGAGCTCGCATTTTACGACAAGGAGGCGGAAAAATCTATAACATTTCAGTAAGTTAGACGGGTCTCCAAGAGAGAGGAGGGCAAGGGGGTGATGTTCGCAAATCAAATTAAAACCTTGCAAACCGCTTGGATCTCTGATTCAGATTAAGTTCTTTGCACTTTTCAGGAAAGGCTTTATCGCGTTGCTTTTGAGTATCACGGAACTTCGCGTGCAAGCTCTGAGACCAGCAACCGCGATAATATTATTGACTCTGGCCGACTCATTGTTTTCTTAACAAATTCGAGCAGTAGTGCCATGTCTTGCAATCTAAAGTGGATAGCTTGTCAATTTATTTGGAGGATGGGTGGTTTATGTACTGATGTAGAATCAACTGAAACTGTTTTCTCATATTTTTCGAACTTCGAATTTACTAAATTTTGATTATGTTTCTGTTGGGAAAACCTCATACTGCTGCACACCGTGGTAGCACGTCACAACATGTTTGTAATTATATCTCTTTCAGCAAAATGCATTTAATATCACAAATTTTATACATTGAGTCAATGGACTCTTTTTTTTGCTTTGAAGGATAATATTAACATTAGAAAACACGACCAAGCAAAACTATTACATTTAGTAACATGTCCAACAAAATCATCCGACATTTATACAACCCTTGCTTTGGTAACATGGTCCTCGACTAATAAAGACGGAGAGACTAAACAAAACAAAGAATTGGAAGTGTACGCTTTCCGTGTCCAAGACAAAATGTTTGAAATAATGCTATCGGCGATAAAAGATTCTTCACTGTAAAACGTAAAAAACTGCGTGAAACATCTAACCCCCACCAAAAAATAATAAATTATTAAAAAATGAAATTAACAATGGAATGAGGGGAAAGTCACTACACCTAATACCCCTGCCATACAAGTATCAAAATTTTTAAAAGGAACCTGTTTGAGTTGAAACAGCAAAATATGATGACCGAGATCGAAAGGGTTGTTTCGAAAAGGTACAGAGTCGGATTTTTTCGAAATTGAGTTTTTGACGGGAAATAAATTTTTTGCCACCTCTTGTATATTTTTTCTTGTCGCCTAATTTTTTTCTTTTTTTCCTTTCAGAGTTATCACTATTTCGAAATGACCACTTTAATCATGAAAAAAGGATGTATACTCTCCCAACGCGTGGCTCTGAGCTCTGTTCTATTCTTTATTGAAATGAATGAGAATGCATTTCCGTTTAGCACAATAATCGGAGAGTCCAATGAATATGTTTGCATGTAATTATCACTGAGGCAAATGGAATTCTACTTCTTTAAAACAAATTCTAGTCGTTTCCGGAAGCAAAACCTAGCCTGTTGATCAGGGAGAAATTAGGTGAGGTTGACTCACTTGTCCTTCCTCTACTACCAGAGAGAGAGACCATGAAAAGAACTTTAAACAAGAAGAGGATCGCCAACTTTCCTACGAATCCCACCGACGCGACATCACAGCCTTAAGAGGAATCCCTCCGCAATTTAGAAGCACAAAAAACCTTGACAATTTCATCATTTTCGACTCATTTGATGCAGAAGGCGAAGAAGACAGTTCAGACGAAAAAGAAATTTATCAGAATCCTAATAGAATAATTGTGTTCGGAACCACACAAAATCTGTCTTTGTTGAGCCGGTCAATGATTATTTTCTTGGATGGGACTTTTGAAACTTGCCCACACATTTTCACGCAAATTTTCACAATCCATGGAACGGTCCATGGTGCAGTGTTTCCTCTCGTGTATGCATTGCTGCCAAATAAAACAACAGAGTCTTACCGAGCAGTTCTGAGAGCAGTCGCGGATAAATGTGTTGAATTGGGTTTCGCAGCTCCTCGTCCACGATCTATTATGTCTGACTTCGAATTGGCAATCATCAACTCCGTCAAACAAGTTTACCCACAATCCACCATCTTACTTTGTTTTTTCCATCTATCACAAAGTGTATGGAGACATTTGCAGAGTATTGGGTTACAAGTCGCCTACAATGACCCGGAAAATAGGGAAGTCAAAATTGGGTTTTCTCAATAGTTGGCGCTGGCGTTTGTTCCTGCAGAAGATGTTTCGCGAGTGTTCAATATGTTGAAGCCAACATTACCACAGAGCATGGAAGAATTGGCAAAATATTTTGACAGAACTTACGTCAATGGATCAAGAGAGCTCGTTCGGCGCCGATACAGGGTGCAACCTCCGAGGTACAGTCCAGTTCTGTGGAACCATTATCAATCAGTTTTACATGACGGGCCACGTACGAATAACGCAACAGAAGGTTGGCATAATAGATTCCAAAGTTTAGTAGGAAAAAACCATCCATCCATTTATTATTTACTTCGGCAGTTCTTGAAAGAGCAGGTGGACACGGAGAAACAGATAATAGAAATTCAAGCTGGACGGAAGGTGAGAAAACCAAGGGAGGCAAAGTACGAGCGACTTAACATCAGGCTGAGAACGATTGTCTCCCGTTATGAAGAGCACAAAACAGAACGTACAGAGCTGGATTACTTCAGAGCAATAGGCCACAACATTGCCTAATCATCGTGAGTCACCTAAATTGCCTAATAATTCGAATAATCCAATAAATACGGATTTTCATTCATGGGTGAAATTTGGATGAAAATGCTGGGTGAAAATTCTTTGGGAAAAATTTTCTCGGTGAATTTGGATGAAGGGGCAATGGGGGAACTGGCTTTGGATCTTTTGACTTTTGGGGGAAAAGGTTTGGGTGAAAGGGCTCCAAACCACCTGGCTGTATTAAGGAGAGCTCTAGTGCGGGAAAGATAAAATGGGCGCTTTTTTCGATCGAAAATGAAATTTTCCTTCGTGTGCGTGAGAATGCACAGCGGAGTTTTACGGCTGTGCACGTGGAAAATAGAGTAACGGAAGCGGGTTGAGGCGTATGTAAGTGCTATTGTCTTGATTTGTATGCATTATGCATGTTAATTTAAACGGGACAAGTGTTGGGTCGGGATAAAAAGTTTACTTCTCTGTCGCACGCTCCGTGCTTTGCCCCGCAGAGAACGGCAAAAGGCGCGTGACACAGTGGTTCAATTACTTCCTCATTCGAAAACATTAAGTTTGATATAATTTAATGCTTTTATAGAACGTCTTTCTTTTTCTAATGGATCATTAAATGACCTTCAGTTGATGCTGTACATTTTTGTCGTTAAAGAACCAGATTGCACAGAAAAAACCTCAACTATTTAAAAGTGGAAGCGCGAAGGTCCACTACTGGACATTCTTCATGCGGGTGCATAAGATTTTCAAACATTTGAGGAGGTATAGTTACCTAGAGTTAACTAACTAAACATTCAGATGCATTATCTGGATTATAAAAGATATTGATAAAACAAATTATAAATGAGTAAAATTTTTAAAATTTAAAAAAATCTTACCAATATAAATTTAAATTTCTGTTAAAAACTAGGATTAGATACCCTACTATTTAGAATAAACGTAATTAAAGTAGTAAAAGAAAATCTTCAAACTTAAAACATTTGGCGGTAGTTTTATTACATATCTTCTCTTCATCTATTTCTTTAATATATTTAAGTGCTGTTTCATGTACAGCACTTACATATTACTAACTATATTACTTTATGTATATATTATTGTACCTCTCCTTCTCTATTGCTAACTATTGCTATTGCTATTGCACCTATCATACATCATACCCAAACATCGGTGTCAACGTACTTGATGCCAGAAGCTAAAATAAACAATTATAATTCGAGGGTTTTACTATCCGAGTAAAAAATCAGAGCTGATTTCCTAACATAAGTTAGATGAAATATTTCGTCCAGTTTCATCTTAAACATCTTATCAATATTCTCCGAGCGCAATTTCAGCATAGAAATCCACACTGGTTCTGTTCCTATACTGATTCCTTTCTTTTTCACTTAAAACGGTTTCGTCCGTAGTAGTTGTAAAAAGTTAAGAGCTTTAAGAGAGGAAGAAATAATAATTAAAGGATATCGTAACGAAGAATAATTCCAACAGAGTTTTACAGAAACGCACCAAGTCGCATTTCAAAAACGAATGCGTCGGGAATAGTTTTGAATTCAAGTATATGCATACATTTTTGGTATTAAAAATTCGTGGCCGAGAATAAATATTTTGAACGTTAAAACAGTCGTTAAACTTTGTCTCAACAAATCTCATGAATGAAACTGTGAACATTTTTTCCGCGGTTTTAACTTGATGCGATTCGGAGCGCTTTGTTGAACTCGGTCCAATTATTCGGTCGTATTTATGCTAAAAGGATTTTCGTGCAACATAGTTTCTTTTTAGCATAAATACATTTACTTGCAGGAGAGAAGTTGTTTCATTGTCCTCGTAATGATTTGTACTCCTAATCCAAATACAAGAACTTGTGGAACAGGATCAAGAGTTGTGACTTTATCAAAAATCTGAGCGGCTAACCTAACATCCATAAATCGAGTCTGAACTGAACTATATTAGGTATGTTTAAAACTTTAATACGGCTCGGATTTATTTATCAAATATACATTAATTTTAGTCAGGGATTCGAACCCTCTCAAAAATTACGTGGGGTCCGGGGTCGGGTCCAAAACGTAACCGTAATACTGCCGTGCTAAGGAAAAACGCCGTATAAACATTCGAGAGTTGCCAAATTTCCTTCAATAAAATATTTATTTTTGAGGAAAGTTATAAATATTTTTCTGAGAAATTTTTCAAGAACTTTAAGTAAAATTGCGAAAAAAATTATCTGAACAATTGGAAAAAAAATATTAACAAATTTTCCCGAAAATTCATGATTTACCTTAGGAAATTTTGCAACGCCTAAAGGTTCATACGGCGTTCTTCCCTTGCACGGCAGAATAGGGTTCGGGTTCGGTTCCTGGTTCGGGAAAAATCTTCGGAACCGGTTCAAAGGAGGTCCGACTTGAAAAGTGAAATAGAGTGCAAATTGCACTGTGCAATTAGATTAAAACTTACATTTACCAAAGAGCAGTGTTGTTACGGTTGCAGTAAAAGGATGTCATGTGAAGGGCTCCAGCGTGTGTCCACAATTGGTTTGAGTAATTTATATTTGCTGATAAAAATCAAGACATTCTGCGTCCGCAGTTTCTCAACAACTCTACCTGCTGCGTTTAAAACATCTTCTACTCTCTTGACACTCAGTAAATCTACAACTGCAAACTGTAAATTGTGAGCAAAACAACGTGCACCCAAGACTACTTCTCCGTCTATCAGTGAATTTTACTGAAATACAATTGGACTGCATTTTGCAATTTGGAACTATAAATTCTGGCTCTTCTGGAGAAACACTAATGTGCATAGGAAAACTAATTGCACATACCGATGGTGAAACTGCAGAAATGCGTATATCGGTTTGCGGCGTTGCAGACTTCCTGTCATACTTTATTTTTCATATGGAAAACCACTTAACATCATTTATCGAGCACTTCGGATATTTTTCTTCTCTATTTGAAGAATATTCTGTGTAAATTTCAAGCCACGATGTTGGTTCGGTTTCCTTTTAAAAAATAAAATAAGAGGGGAGATTTTCAAACACCGCAACCGATATACGCATTTTTGCAGTTTCACCATCGATACGTTGCTTTTAGACCGGGCTAGAATTTATAGTTCCAAATTGCAAAATGTAGTCCAATTATCACCTCGAATACGGTAACTGTGCGGAGAATGGGCAGGCAAAGGATGGTTACCCTCTTCCCCGCGACGAGGGGGTGGGATGGGGTGACATTTCCCGCCAAAACGCAACGCTCCCTGCAAGGCGCGACGATACCGCCCGGCAGCCAACGTGCCCCTGCAAACACGGCGATACCGCCCGCCAGTCGTAACTCAATCCTTCCCCGGCGAGGATCCGTGTTTCTCCGCGATAAGATCCGCGCGCGATCTCGCGAACCTCGTGTCTCGGTCCGCGTGTGTGATTCCCGGTGCCCTGCGTGTGAGTGTGTTTCCACAGTGTTTTCAGTGACGCATGGATACTTGTCCGGCGATCAGGGGTAAGAATCTCGATCAACTTATGATTTTAACTCATGCATGGGATGGGTGTTTTGAAATTGCCTCAAAGTATGCACTGGAAAAAAAGAAGAAAAAAAAACATTGGATCCAGAGTCCAGACTCTTGAAAACATTGACAAGAAAAAATACTCTTGATTCAATCGGATTTTTGCTTGAATCAAATCGAAATCTGCTTAAATTAAGAGGCTTGGTTCTTGATTTAAGCTACATCCTGATTGAATCAATAGAAGAAAAAAAAAGAAAAAAAAGAAAAAACACACACACACATTGGATCTAGAGTCCAGACTCTTGAAAACATTGACAAGAAAAAATACTCTTGATTCAATCGGATTTTTGCTTGAACCAAAACGAAATCTGCTTAAATTAAGAGGCTTGGTTCTTGATTTAAGCTAGATTCTGATTGAATCAATAGTGCTTTTTCTTGTCGATATTTTTAAGAGTCTGGACTCTAGATCCAATGTGTTTTTCTTTCCAGTGTGTCCGAATATTTGCTGAAAATACTAAAATCACGCACACTTTGCTCGTTCACTGAAAAAAAAGATAGGTAGAATTTACCGTTCCTCCACGCTATAATTCACATAGCGTGAAGGAATGGTAAATTCTACTAATCTTCGAGTCGATTCTGCCAAAGGAATGGTTACCTGAACCAGTGTATATTAACGTTTACCTTCCTTCTGGTAGAATTGACTCTAAATTAACGCTGTGTGAAATACAGCGTGAAGGAATGGTAAATTCTTCCAATTTTTTTTTTCAGTTTTCTGTTGCAGAAACTTACGCATTGCATTTTAGATTGATGGAGGAGATATTATTGTTTTCTTTGTTACTTACACCTAATGCTTTCCTTTTCTATGCAATGAAAACTCAATGCATGTGTAACAATGCAATAAATTACTAAATGCAAACAGTTGTATCAACACAAATCTTCATAGAAAATAGGAAGAAAACCATAAAGAAACCCTGAGCATTTTAAAAATAGTGCGCATGTAATTTTTAGTGCTGACTCCGAAAATTACATTGTTTTTTTCCCCACATCTGCTAATTTTTTTTTTTAGAAAATTTAGATTTTCCTCGAAACTCGAGTTTCTCTAATTAAAATCAATTTCCCGGAAAATTTGTAGATAGTATGAAATTAACGAACGTCATTTTTGAACTGAATATACAAGAATACATAGAAAACATCACACGCGTACTTACAACATTTTCCCCGTTGTTTCTGATAACGATCTTCTTCTAAGCATGATGATAGTGGTATTATTTTTATCACTTAGTGTTGCAAACAAAGGTAAACACAGAACACAGGTTTTCATAATAAATAATGAATTATAAAAATATTCAATACGACAGAACAAAACACCGTATCTGTCCTAGGCAGGAATAGGTGAATGTTGTAGTCCGCTAAATTTTGAACATGCTTGTTGTCAAGGAACAGAATGTTGGGCAAATTAGAAGCGACTATATTCGACAAGGGACCGTTCACCGGGGAGCCCCACAAGGAACAACCCTAAACTTCACGGAAGTTTAGGGGGGAGAGGAATGTTGGCAGTCTCCCTCTCC